CTGACCCCCAATATGGAGTCGAAAAATCACGACACCCTCAAAAATCCCAGTTTTGGAGAACCTGGCGGACGGTGCAGGTGCAATCGCAGGGCTGCGGCGCTGTTTACGCCCGGCGTATATCAGCGCCGCAACCCGCCAAACCTGCAAGATGGGCGGAGTAACCAGCTGGGCAGTGTGGCCAGCTCTGGATTACGTACTTTCAGGAGCGGATTTCTCGCTCCGGAAACATTCCTTTGCGGAGAAACGTGGAGGTTGGCCTAGTGTGGGGGCCTACATTAGTATGCCATCGAATCTGGTGAACCTCCACTTTGGGTGGACAGTGCCTTTAAGCTAACCTCAGAGATTCTGCGATCGATGGAGAAGGAGCCATTGCTTTAGACACGTAGGTATCATACTTTGGACAGATTCGAATAAATATTCGAGTATTCGAATAAAGTATTCGAATAAATTTTATTCGAAATTCGATTATTCAAAAATTCCAAAATCTCGAATATGTTCGATATTCGCTTATTCGAAATTTGTCAATTTCAAATTTATTCGATTATTCGGTTATTCGAAAAAATTGATTTTCGAATATATTCGAACATTCGAATATTTATTTTCAGAAGTTATTCGATTATTCGACAATTTCTTATAATCGAATAACTACATGACAGCGTCACAATTTTGACTGCTATAACAGCAACCATCGTTTGTTGTCCAAGTTGCCCACTGCATGGAGTCCTTCAATGCGCTATTTCGATCAAAATTTTTTGAATATTCGACATAATCGATGCAAAATATTCGTTTATTCGGATTTTTTTCTCAAATATTATTCGACTATTCGGATTTATTTTCAATTCGAATATATTCGATATTCGATTATTCGACGATTTTCTTATTTTGAAAATATTCGACATTCGATTATTCGACATTTTTGTTTCTCGAAAATATTCGATATTCGAATATTCGACATTCTCTGTTTTTGAAAATATTCGAAACTAGCTGGCTTACCCGGCTCCGCCGTATCCGGACCAAACTTGGCACACATACACTTCGGGCCCCGGCGGGTGTCACAGTCCACTTTTCGTTATCGATCGATGTCCATTTTACCGATTTTTATCGATTTTTTTGCAGAGTTCACCTACAGGGCTAGGAGTTGGCACAGGGGGGAAGTGAGCATGGGGATTCCGAATACAATATTAGTTTTCAGAATCATCGATTACTTTTATTGATTTTATCGATTTTTTGTAAATTTTGACATGCGAGGCTGGGATTTTGCACAGGGGGGTAATCGAGCATGGGGATTCCGAATACAATATTAGTTTTCAAGATCGTCCATTACTTTTATCGATTTTACCGATTTTTTGAAAATTTGAGCTAGGGGGCTGGAATTTGGCACAGGGGTGTAATCGAGCATGCTGATCACCCCCCTTGGGGATGATCAGCATGCTCGATTACCCCCCTGTGCCAACTCCCAGCCCCCTAGCTCAAACTCAAAAAAATCGATAAAATCGATAAAAGTAATCGATAATCCCGAAAACCAATATTGTATTCGGAATCCCCATGCTCGATTACCCCCCTGTGCGAACTCCCAGCCCCGTAGCTCAAACTTTGCAAAAAAATCAATAAAATCGATAAAAGTAATCGATAATCCTGAAAACCAATATTGTATTCGGAATCCCCATGCTCGATTACCCCCCTGTGCCAACTCCCAGCCCCGTAGCTCAAACTTTGCAAAAAAATCGATAAAAATCGATAAAATCGATATCGATCGATGACGAAAAGTAGCCTATGACACGCGCCGGGGCCCGAAGTGTATGTGTGCCAAGTTTGGTCCGGATCGGTTCAGAAATGGAATTTTCTATTCGGAACATACGTACATACATACATACATACATACATACATACAGACAGACAAACAGACATTCAGCTTTATATATAAGATTCGATTATTCGATATTTTTGATTTTCGAATTTATTCGGTTATTCGATTATTCGAAAAAATTCTCGTATATTCCAAAGTATAGTAGGTATCACGACAAAAGTGTAAAATAAGGAAAAAAATAAATATTGGTAATCTAAAATATATAAAAGGTGGACTGCCCACATATTCGCGCCCGCGCGTGCTACGTCGCGTCGTCAATCCGTATGAAACACCACATGTAACGAGCGCAAACAAAAGTCATCTGCAACCGAAGATGAAAGGCGATACGCCAAAGCTTATCACCTTTGACTGATAATAATTTCTTGGAAAATTTGGCCACAATATTGACCTCATTTTGCTAGTTAGAATAAAGTCTTCCGTAACGTTGTTTTCCTCTTTGAGTATGGCGCGCTCATTCACTGGCACCAGTGAGTACCCACGATTCCCATTTAAGGGGGGGGGGGGAGAAGGGAGGGCGGGGACAAACAAAATTTTCAGGTGAATGTAGGTGTTGTCAGCCCGCACTCTGAAAATTTCGGGGTACTTCCCAAAATTTAACCGGACCCATAACCCCGAAAAGGGAGTGTGGCGGAGGCCACAGCCCAAAAAAATTTTCACAAGGCTAATTTGAATTTTTAAGAATCCTAAGACTTATTTGAATTATTTACCAGTATAAACGAGTCACTTGCACAATTTACAACTCATGCAAGTATGTTTCAGAGATTTCGCGACCATGCTCGGGGGGGGGGGGCAGGGTGGTTCGCCCCTTCCCCTCTCGGTACACCGCTGATTGGTACTATCAAGACAACTTGCGTGGCAAGTTCAGCCTGCTTGCAAAACTATGCCGTCGCATGTGAAGTAAGTATAAGAAGCGCCATTATGACGGAGCAGAAATGCGAACTGTTGCAAGTTGGGTGAAACACGATCCAAGGGGAGACAGTTTAGCAGGTTGAATTATTTCACTATGCAAACTCTCGGCAAGATCTGACAATTGCAACTCTTTAGCACTGGCAGAGTTCCGAAGCAGGTTAGATTCACTAGATTCGTTCGTTTCTCGAGGACACCAAATGACGATTTGTCTTCAAATCACAAATGTTTTTGAGCTGAACTCAACAGTCAATTTACCTACACTTTCTCTACAGTTTTCTCTCAGTGAATTGGTTCAGGTGAAAGCTTAATTTGCTGAAAAACCGTAAGACCTCAATTTTGACCGAACTCCAAGAAATTCTTGAATCTTTTCCTTTCTGCTATCAAAAATCAAACAATTTTTGCATTTTTGTCGGAACACCTCATTCGGATATCGTAAAGTTATGGACAACGCTGCAAAACCTAGATTCCAGTCCAATAATTTGCGCATAAATTTTGAGAAATAGCTCACCACTGCTGTAACAATACGGTAATCCGTTAAAGCTTTGATATCGACATCCAAAGTTCCGTAAACAAGTTCGACTTTGTTGATGATTGTCCAAGAAGCGATCTGGATATAAAAAGTTTGGAGCCTTCACTATCTACCGAAAAATGTTTTACAAACCTCTTTCTTATAAGTGTCTTTAGAACTGTTGTGTGAGTGCTGAATTCTAAAAACCTTCGCTCGGATATCCTGAATAAAAATCCATCTTTCTAAAGTTTATATTGAATTTTTTTTCAATTCATTCAAACACGCCTAAAAGTTTCAATTAATAAAGCACAGAGAGGTTTACTCTCACAAATTTCCAACATGTCAGCAACACAAATCACTCTTCAACTTTCTTGAGCCTTATGCTCAAAAAATTCTCTCCCAAATCATACTGTGTATCCTCATCTTCTTACCTTCTACGATACTTCTTAGTCAGACAATTGCATCGGAAAGTTCGCGGGCTCAAAGCGTGTTACATGGCGCGCCGCGGCCCTTAAAATTTCAGCCGCACACGCCGCGGCCCATGTATATTTTACCGGGAACGCCGCGGCCAAAGTTGAAATCGGGAAGAGATTATCGGGAAGGTCGCGGCCCAACCACTTCACTCGGCGGGCCGCGAGCCCTATCAAAAGCCGCACTTCTTACACGCTGTAGTTCAAGGCGCAACCCTCCTGAGGTACGTTGCAGCGTTGAGGCTACCCTAAGTGGGGGAACGGAACTTACATACACCATAGGGTTGCCGCCGCCCAATTAGCGGAGTTCATGAGAGGTCATGAACTGGCAGCAACGCTAATTTGCACTCATTCTGCACCGAAGATGAGCTGATCCTGCTCACGGTAACTCCGTCATCATCCTGCACCCTATGAAACCGGAATTTTTTTTTGAAATTTGAATTCAAAGTTCAGTAGTAAATTCTGTCCAATTAGATCAAAAACTTGTATTTAGGGGTATTCTAACACGCTGATTCTGAATATGTTAATCATTTTGCTTGAAACCTAGGATTTTTCTCTTTTTTTGAATTAAAACTTGTTTTCACAAACAAAAATTTCAAAAATCCTCTGTAGGGGTTTTCTGACATGCTGTTTCCTAAAAAGCTGATGGTTTTGCTTGAAACCTCAAAATTTTTCTATTTTGAATTTGAAACTTTTTCGGAAATTTCATTGCAAATTTGATAAACTTGGAAGACAAATGGAAAAAATCTGCTATGTTTAAGAAAATAAAATGAATCCAAATTCGACTAAACTATCGTGCTCTAATAATACCTTAGATCGAAAAACGAAAATTGTGTCAATGTCAAAAATTTCTCAAATCCAAAACGGACTTCAACATCAAATAAAAATCTGCTTATTTATAAAGACCAATCCAAGTGTCAGGGTCCATGCTGTTTTAAACTCCAAAAATAAAAATCCAAAATTACCAAGCTACTTAAAACTAAAATATTCTGAATACATATAATTTGACGAGATTCATTTACCTGCAATTAGTCATGATTGCCATGCACGTGATAGTTAACTTGTCAACGACAGATGCACCGATGTGTGAACACAAACCGCCGACGAGTATGCCCAGAGCAATGAAATGACCAAAAAGGTCTTTGGGCAAGGAAAGGGCGAAAAAACAATTTCAGGCTAAAAATTTCCTATAGATAGGAGAAAAAATGTCAGACAGTCCACTAGTGGTGTACTCGATATTCATACCATGTCATTCTACGATTTTTACAATGTGCAAATGCTGCAAGCAATGCAGCAATTTTACGCAACGTCGGATCTTAGCTCTCAACAGTTATTGTTAGGACCACAGGTAAGTAAATTTCAATATAAATCTTTTACTACGCTCTTAAAAAAATTCAGCAATTGTTTACGTCGAACAATACTATCACTCCAAATGAACTTTATCTGCAAAACAGCGATTTGTACTTGGAAAGCGAAAGCAACAACGAAGCTGTGGCATTGCAAGCTCCTGAGGTAAGCAAGCAGTCCGCATTTCAGTAATTCTAAAAAAAATAGAACTTCAGACATCTACGCCTGTGGTGATTCACACCTCTGCAAATGAGGAAATTATTCCTGAAGCGCAGCCCATCTATCGCGGTGAAAAAGAGATGAGTAAAAGAGGAACAAATTTTGTTTTATTATATGATATCCCAAATTCTCCTTTATGTTATATTTTTTCCCACCACAGAAAAATTAAACAAGGAGGAACGATCATATATCGTTGCCGCGGATGCCAGCAACAAAACGATTGCTACACTTCAGTCCAAGTAAGTAGAATCTTCTAAAGGCTAATTTACCTAGAATTTCAACTCAAAAAGCAAAGAAAAACTTGAAGGTGCAAGACGATGTTTTTGAAAGTGATCCATGCATGTTATCCCACAATTGTATTCCTCTGGATCGCTATTGTGATAAGGCGAATCGTCATGGTTATCAGGTAGCTTTTTTAGAATAAATCCAGTTATTTCAAAAAAAAATATAATATTTTTGCAGGCATGCCAAACCATGAGGAAAGACAAAAAGGCTTACAAAACAACACCTTACAGGCATTTCTCGGAAACCGCCCATGCTATATTAACCGACGACACATGGAGAAGTGAATTTTTTTTGTAAAGCTAAACAGCTTAGCTTATTTGCAATTTTTCAGCACTCGAAGAAAGAGAAAAAGTGCTTGGTAAATTTCATGGAAGGAGTTACGAGCAAAGAAGGAGAACATTTGCCAAGTTAGTGTATTTTACATCTTTTAATTATTTGCTACTATCTCTGGTGCTTTTTCAGGGCAGCGAACGCTCACAAAAGGACTGTAGATCCGAGCAATATTCCAGAAGATCTTCGTAACGTTCCCGGAGGCGAGGTATTTTTGCAGCTTCAAACGGATGATTTGCACATATACTTCAGCAGAAAAGTTGTTGAGGTAAGTTTGCGAATATTAACTAAAGACGAGTCAAGATGAAAAAGAAATTTAGTTGGCTCGAGACCATGGATTGCATGCACTAATTGGGGATGGAGTGCACAAATTAAATCCTGTTACAATTCCAAATAGAATGGATAAAGGTCAGCTTTATGTCGTGCACGGGGCAATCCAAGGAGGCATAGAGGTGAGTTTCTACAGAAAATCGAGAAAAATTTCATTATTCTTTTCAAGGTGCCGTTACTCTACGCTGTCACCAGATTCAAGACCGTCGGAACTTACAAGATAGTGTTCGAAAGCCTTCGGGAAGTTCTAGGAGAATACAAAGAAAGATTTGTAGTCGATTTTGAAAAGGTGAGTTTTTCTAATGATTACCAGTCCAGATAAAATTATTTACAGGCGGCCATTCGAGCAGCAAGGGAGACTTTTCCTGAAACGGATGTTCAAGGATGCGCTTTTCATTTAGCGCAGGCGTGGAATAGGGCTTCTGTTAATTTGGGGCTAAGAAAGTTCATAAGGGGACCTAAAGCGGTTAGAGGTAAAAAATTGGTGGGAGATTTTGAAGGGGGTTATTTTTTTGCCGGAGGAACTTATAAGCAGAGTTTCAGCCCTTTCAGCGCCACCGGTAAGTGAATCACATGTAGCACATGCGCCATGCAATGAATTTTTAAAATACTTAAATACTGTTTATTTTAATGGTACTTTCAAAGGAATGTGGTGCAAATGGGGTATGCAGGATTATAGGACAACAAACGCAGCAGAAGCATTTCACAGGTAAATAGTCATCCCAATTTATGTTGACATCAAACCCCTGATTTCAGCAAATTGCGTGGAATGCTTTCAAAGCGAATTAATCCCCCGTTTGAAGAGCTGTTGGAATGCTTGCACTCTATCAACTCATTAGCACTAGGAATGCTGAAACATGTCCAAGAGGTTAGAATTTGTGATTCTCAAACTATTATATCACTAATAATTTGTAAATCAGAATGCACGCGCTTCGAGAGCTCTTCGCAAAAAAGATCAAGAGCGTCGTGACAAGATCAACAACGCAATGGATGAGTTTAAAGAGATGCTTCGTTTGGATGATGATTTAGAAATAGATGTCATTAATAACTATTGCAGGAAGATGTCACAGTTTGTTACAGAGAAGACTATATAGATGGACTTCAAAAAGAAATGAGTATATAATATATAGATACTAGCTGGCTTGCCCGGCTCCGCCGGGCCTGCCAGCTAGACCCGTGTACGTATGTTCCAAATAGAAAATTCCATTTCTGAACCGATCCGGACCAAACTTTGCACACATACACTTCGGGCCCCGGCGGGTGTCACAGTCCACTTTTCGTTATCGATCGATGTCGATTATACCGATTTTTATCGATCTTTTTTGCAGAGTTCACCTACAGGGCTAGGAGTTGGCACAGGGGGGAAGTGAGCATGGGGATTCCGAACACAATATTAGTTTTCAGAATTATCGATTACTTTTATTGATTTTATCGATTTTTTTGTAAATTTTGACCTGCGGGGCTGGGAGTTTGCACAGGGGGGTAATCGAGCATGCTGATTACGAACACAATATTAGTTTTCAGGATCGTCCATTACTTTTATCGATTTTATCGATTTTTTTTGTAAAGTTTGACCTGCGGGGCTGGGAGTTTGCACAGGGGAGTAATCGAGCATGCAGATTACGAATACAATATTAGTTTTCAAGATCGTCCATTACTTTTATCGATTTTATCGATTTTTTGAAAATTTGAGCTAGGGGGCTGGAATTTGGCACAGGGGTGTAATCGAGCATGCTGATCACCCCCCTTGGGGATGATCAGCATGCTCGATTACCCCCCTGCGCCAACTCCCAGCCCCCTAGCTCAAACTTTGCAAAAAAATCGATAAAATCGATAAAAGTAACCGATAATCCCGAAAACCAATATTGTATTCGGAATCCCCATGCTCGACTACCCCCCTGTGCGAACTCTCAGCCCCGTAGCTCAAACTTTGCAAAAAAATCGATAAAATCGATAAAAGTAATCGATAATCCTGAAAACCAATATTGTATTCGGAATCCCCATGCTCGATTACCCCCCTGTGCCAACTCCCACCCCCGTAGCTCAAACTTTGCAAAAAAATCGATAAAATCGATAAAAGTAATCGATAATCCTGAAAACCAATATTGTATTCGGAATCCCCATGCTCGATTACCCCCCTGTGCCAACTCCCAGCCCCGTAGGTGAACTCAGCAAAAAAATCGATAAAAATCGATAAAATCGATATCGATCGATGACGAAAAGTAGCCTATGACACTCGCCGGGGCCCAAAGTGTATGTGTGCCAAGTTTGGTCCCGATCGGTTCAGAAATGGAATTTTCTATTCGGAACATACGTACATACAGACATACAGACAGACATACAGACATACAAACAGACATTCAGCTTTATATATAAGATATAGATATATATATAAATCGTATTTTGTCTCCGCGTACAACGATCGATTGAGGGAAATGGTCCTCACGGCCTTCTGTTGTCGCCAGATTCTCAGGGCATGCCTGTGGCCGTTATCACCAAATCCGAAAAAATTTGGAATTCAAAATAGAAGATTTTCGAGGTTTCATGCAAACCATCAGCTTTTTTGAAAACAGCATGTCAAAAGATCCTAATTGTGAAATTTGCCGAATTTACAAAGAATTTGTGGAGAATAAATAAAATATCAAAAAAAGTATTCAAAGTTTTGAGCTAAACACCATTAGTTTTTTTTAGGAAACAGCATGTCAGAAAACCCTTACATAGAATTTTTGAAATTTTTATTTGTGAAAACAAGTTTTAATTCAAAAAAGAGAAAAATCCTAGGTTTCAAGCAAAATGATTAACATATTCAGAATCAGCGTGTTAGAATACCCCTAAATACAAGTTTTTGATCTAATTGGACAGATTTTACTACTGAACTTTGAATTCAAATTTCAAAAAAATTCCGGTTTCATAGGGTGCAGGATGATGACGGAGTTACCGTGAGCAGGATCAGCTCATCTTCGGTGCAGAATGAGTGCAAATTAGCGTTGCTGCCAGTTCATGACCTCTCATGAACTCCGCTAATTAGGCGGCGGCAACCCTATGGTGTATGTAAGTTCCCTCACCCCCCTAAGTGTTTAGCAGGCTGGTTATCGCTTCTCGGATTTGGTCAAATGACAGACTTGAGTTTTTATGTTGATGAAATAAACTTCAGCAGTCGGGTGAGCAATACGACGACATTAGATGATGTCGACAGATGAGCTAACAAGATGCTCAATTTGTGCTCAAGTCGTTGTCATGAAAGACACGCCAAAAGATTTTTCACTCTTCCTAGGCCTCACAAGCATGCTAGTCGGGTCAACTATCGGGCGCTTAAAGGGTGCACCGCGGTCACTTATCGGGTCCAATTTCGGTTTATACCGGGCAGCTCGCGGCATGGATGATTGGTGGTCGAGCAAGCACCCGCGAACTTCCCGATGCGATTGTCTGAGTTATGTTGGTACGAAGAATCCGCTTTTGAACGGGTATGCGTACATGGTTTTTGCACTAAGACTTGGAAGTATTTGCTTATACAAGTTGTTGATAATATGACACTCCATTCTTTGTGTCGCCTTCGAGCAGTAATCCAGGCGGAGCAACTACGGATACGACGATTCACCCCATCTCATTCCACCTTGCCACACTAAGTCTACCCCAGAGAGTCAACGATATGTACTTTTTCAAGTGGATAGGTAATTTAGACAACTATTATTGCAACTCCGCTCAGCTTATTTCACAAATTGACAAGGCCATTAGGCCATTCAGGTTATTAAAACCTGCGCAAAGGTAGCAAACTCAGATACCATATTTTTATCGCGCTCGAGGTAGTGTTTCGGTAAAATGGATTGTTTGCAAGTGCGATCGCAGTGGAAAATATCAGTTCTCAATCAAAAAGTATCAGTTTCCCGCCCTGCTTTGATTAGAAAACAGCATTTAATTACGAGCTTTGATTTTAATACGACCTATACCAGCTAAACTTTCGTTCAAAGCTGCTTCCTGAAAATTGCCAGAAAGCCTGTTTTTGGCTTTACACGCGGTTGAAAAGCGTCTCTTTAGCTCGATCAAAACCTTCGACAACCACCTTAGCAAATCGAGAAGTAAACGATTTCGCGTACATCAACCTTGTTACACATGGATGTCATTTAGATTACAAGAGCGTCTAGGCGATCATTGCTTCATGTAGATGCAATTAACCACCGTTATTCCGGCTTTCCAATTACGTGTTTAGAATCCCATCAGTCAGAGTGTATGTATTATATATGTAATCATACTTGCAAGGAGAGGTAATTTATCGAAGTGACGATTGCAAAAGAAATAACGGGACAAAGCTTGAAACGCTGGTCTCACAGAGAAAGGATAGTTGGTGACCGCGACATTTCGATATGTGACATATCTACGTATGACATTCGCCTTGAAAAGCTGGTCTCAATTTCGTTGTTTGCGGAACGAGTCTTCGAAAAACCCATTTTTTAAATTTTTACATCTGACGCGATTGTAGTGGAGTAGAAGCAATGTCGATAGGTACTAATGCCAAATGGTCGAGCGATTAGCGCTACTGATTATCACACAGTGGATGGCGATTTGATTTCTGTCGGTGCGAATATCTTTACTTTCGCTTTTACAAGAGCTATTTTTTCTCAGAAAAGCATTCTGTAGATAATGAACATAGTTCGAGATCGGTGTTTTAAGACGAGCATTCTGATATAATATAGTTTTCAAAGCCACGGTCACCAGTGATCCTTCCCTTGTCAGATATAGTTTCCATATCTGCGAAACATCCTTCCGAAGACAAGTTATGAACTCTCCTTGAACCAAATGCGGGCATTCTAAACTGAATTACGATAATTCCCACAGAGTAACATGCAAGCTTGAGCAAACCGCCTAATAAGTATTGTATCTAGTCTAGTGTCATCTAGCCCTTTCCTGTTCCTAACCATGTTGTTGTCCAAAGACCGTCTTTTTTTTCTCTGGACGCTTCCGTTAGAAACAGGAAGAAACCCACAACGTGGAACTTTAATGCAGCCAATAGCTGGCTCATTAAGCAAATACTGAGTTCAGGCTGCGAAAGATGAATTTCGAAAAGCAAAAATTGCTTCAGAATTTGCTTACGGACACGTTCGTTCCGCCAATCAATGTGGGTGATCCAAAATTGATGAGAGCTAAAATGACCCTTAAGTAGCTGGGCAAAGACAAAAAGTATTTTCCTTCCGAATAGTTGAAATATACAATTGTTACAAAACAATTGCGTTCTGTTTTTGAATATTTTATCACACTTCCAAGATCAAGGAACCATAAAGAAAAATCAGTCACCGGATAATAAGTCGAAGCACCGTTTTGCCTGAAGACTCCATACTCCGGCGATAGACGGAGAAACTCAAACATGTTGTCTTCAAAAGCAAACGGAGTTGTAGGTAGAGAAGAGCAGTTGTAAGTAGACCAATCGTGATTATGCATGAGTATTTGAAAAACAAAATGCATGACGTTGAAGTAAAACGCAACATCAACCTGCAACTTATGTAATTAACAACAGAACATATTGTATCAGAAGACTGAAACTCAAAAACACTGAAAACTTTGGTGAACTAAGTGCGTATACTTTTGCACCAAAAGCTGAAGAGCTTTACACAACAACAAGATCAAACAACAACTTTATTTTGTTGTTTGACGAAAGATTGCCATTAAAAAGCTAGTACGAAACATATTAGATGATAAAGCAAGTATGCAAGTCATCCCTGCTGGGGAGGAAAGAGGAGCTAGGAACTCATCATGACATGCAGCTTTAGTTAATTGTTTTCTTTATCTATCTGTGAAGGTTCTTTATCCTGATACTCGAGCATATTTGATGCCAGGATATTGCCATATAATTTGAAATTTTTATTGTCTTGCGTGATGCCTCGCGGGATCCTCGGGTTATCGGTGCTGGTTACAAATTCATCTAACTCCTCTAAACTCCATCTAAACTTGATAAAAACGTAGAGTTGCACTGAGAATCTATTTTGTCGCTGCTAGACATGTTTTCGATAGGAACAATGGAATGCAGGGTCGTGAGATTTTTTTTTTTTGATAGGAACCAGCTCGCGAACTTCGAAGTAAGTGTTTCGAAGATTGAAATCCTAAGATTTCACTTATTTTTACTGTAAACATTCCTAGCAGTGGCAGTCACTCCAGCACACTTTGCAACGTTTTCATCGAGTTTGGGGAGTCAGACGAAAAAACTCATACAATCATGGCATCAAATGCTCAGGTATCAGGGTATACAAACCTTCACAAGAAGATAGACAAAAAAGGAGACATGTATAGATCAAGAAGATTACATATATCCAAAGCAGCAAAATATGATGCGTTCCTTCTCGGCTACCCTCCCCTCCCCAATGGGAATACGAGCATACGGGAGTGATTGTGAGACAATTACTCGGTTGCTATGTTTCGGATGTTAAGCATCTGAAAGAATTACTACAAAATACACAAAGAAGAAGAAAGGTTGAGGAAACACATTCTTGTATGTAGAACCCTAGAAAAATCGCACCCTAAAATTTCCTTAAAGACACTGTCCACTCTAAGTTGAGGGTGTTGAGCTTTTGGCAGCTTATAATAGTTCGGCCCCCTATCAATCCAACGCCCAAGTCGCGGCGCAAAATGCCGCTTCGGAAGCGAGGAAATCGCTTCGGAACAACGAAGATGCACGAGGACCCCCATCCATGCCCGCCTTCCCCCATCCATGGTGCCTGTCCATTTGTGCGCGCCCGGCCAATCACCGTTCCAGAAGGCCGGCCTGTGGGTTCTCCGGAACGGGGATTGTCGGGGTTTTAGCGCATTCTTGACTTCATATTCGGAATCAGGGACATGAGAAAGCCCTGAAACGACGAAAACGTGGAAGTCGAAAATCCGGGTAGACGGTGCCTTTAAGCTCTAGTCCTTAGGTCTGAGTACAGCTGTCAAACTTGACGGCAGTTTCTACTAGTCTCTTAAGAACGGCCAATTCGATTGTTTGCGGCACTTTTGAATTGATTGCACCAAAACGACTTGTTATATTAGAAATAGAGCAAACCTCCTGCCAGCTTTCGAAGGATCCATTCAGCATCAAACTAGCTCGAGAACTAATGAGGAAGTCCCTGAGGTCGCGCATGTTTGAATTCCCAGTAGCATATGGTCTGATCCAAAAAAGGTCCATAGAAGAGCATTCCTTACATTCAAAAGGCCTAATATCCTGCAAGAGGAAACAGACTTGTATTAAAATTTTGGACAATTGTTCTCTTAAGCAGAGTTTATCATTAGATCCATTTCAGAACTCTTCTGTTAAAAAAAATTTGGAATAGTTCACAAGTAAAATTTCTTTGAAAAACGCAATTAAGTTTCTATTTCGATATAGATTATGACTAATGAATCACTTGGATTAGTTGGTACCTGTCTTTTGCTAGTTGTATTCTTGTGAATGATTATTTCTAATCCTTCAAGATTTGCCTCCAAATCTTTGACACTTCGTAAATGAAAATGTTGATAGATAAACGCCGAAAAGATGTTTCTTTTTCTTTCTTTCTTTTGTTTCTTTCTGTTTCTTTGTTTCTTTTCTGTTCCTTTTGCTTGCTTTTTAGAGTTACCAAAATATTAGGTTGTCCCGAAATTAAACTCCTTTTTAAAATAATTCAAGCTTTTTCGCTTTCCTGGTAGACTTAGGGTATCATTCGATAGACCAGATCATATGACTACCGATCCGCCTAATTCGCATTCCATGTAGAGTTTGAAGTCAAAATCGAAAAAAATTTTGTCACCTGAAATTTCAATATTTGCGGATAAAAACCCTACGGATCTGTAACTTGGTGATTATACAGTAGGCACTTAGTACTACTCAAATATGCCTTTACTGGATTTTTTTCGCGCATAGAAGTCGAGAAAAATAAGATAGGCAAAAATGGCAAACTCCGCCCCCCTCTGACATATGTCATTGTATGCTACAAGTCCTACTAAGCATAAACTTGAAACTTCACCCCTGCAAGTGCTTTTATAATAGAGTACAAAGTTTTACGTAAAAACGCGAAAAAAGTGGCTTTTGGCATTTTTTGACCATCTTTGCTTCTCGATTTTGAGCCCCGGAATAAGTCCGCCAATTATCAGGTTGTAACAGAATTAATGCAGGTTTTGAATTCCAACAGCAATAAGTCATACACTTCTCATTTCTAAGTAGGCTGCAAAATACCATTCGATAGAGCAAAGCAATCTCTACAAGGTGGCAATCTTGCTTTAGCAACAACTCTGATCCACCACGAGTTTTGAGCCAAAAACTAAAAAGATTCAACTGTCCGAAAAATTGAGAAAAATTGTAACTCAGTTCATAAAAAACCTACAAAAATTCTAATTTGCTCAGTGAACCCTATTAACATGAAACATCTATAAACGCCTTTGCCGTATTTTTTTTCTGTTAGAAATCAAGAAAACGGAAATTTTCGTGCGTTCGCCAAAGTGATGCTGTGCCGTTCCCACATAAGTAGTTGTATACTACAAACCTGTAGAAGTATAAACGTGAATTTCCAGCTCTCTACAAGCTTTGATTTTCAAAAAACATCGAATACAGTTTTCGCTAGTCATGTGGTCCAAGCTAAATTTCAAATTTCTCGAGAACTAAAGCTTGTAGAGAGCTGAAAATTTACGTTTGTACTTCATTGTAGTATACAATTACTTATGTGGGAACGGCACAGCAACACTTTGGCAAATGCACGAAAATTTCCGTTTACTTGTTTTCTAACAGAGAAAAAATACGGCAACGGCGTGTTTAGATGCCCTATGTGGATTATGTTTACGTGAGCAAGTTAGAATTTTTGTAGGTTTTTTATGAACTAAGTTACGATTTTTCTCAATTTTTCGGACAGATGAATCTTTTTACTTTTCGGCTCGAAACTCGTGGTGGATCAGAGTTGTTGCTAAAGCAAGATTGCCACTTTGTAGAGCTTGCTTTGCTCTATCGAATGGTGTTTTGCAACCTACTTAGAAATGAGAAGTGTATGACTTATTGCGCTTGCAATTCAAAACCTGCATTAATTTTGTTACAACCTTTACATTTTTAGGTACTACTGTATGTCTACTATATAGAGACCAGTGGCGGTCCCAGGATTTTGGACGGGGCGGGTGGGGAGGTCATAAAAAATTTTCCTGAGTGAAGGTGCGTGGCGTCAAAAAATAAAAACAGCTCAAGTTATTTGAAAATGGAGTTTACTTTTGGGACCTAGTAGAGGCCAAAAAGCATTGCATTGCACTTTGTTTTCTCTATCTAGCTGTTTAATTGAAGCACTTTGAAAATTCTTGAGCAAAAATTTTAAAACATGCTGAAGTTAGATATGGTATGAACAATGTTTTCAAAATGTCGGCAATGATGTTAGTGACCACAACAGTAACTAATTCAGAAACATAATTTTGCCTATCATTCTGTGTTTTTATGTAGGTGTGGAAACGACACTAATTTTTGGAAGTATATTGAAAAAAGTATAAGGTTGGCGGATACTTTGTGTTACACTTTTATCTGTATTCCTTCAAAACTAAGAAGCTTTCAGTTAATCTCATGTTCAAAGCATGTTGACGGGATGCAAGCTCTACCCATCTGTACTTTCGTTTTTCGCCTTCCGCGCAAGACACCCACTCTGTGGAGGGCAGCACATTTTATTGCCCATCGTTTATAAACGAGTGTCATCTTTTAAAAAGGTAACTCCAAACTTTCCGTATCATATCTCACATGATGCACACAAAGATAGAAGTTTTTGACAAATTGCACTTTTTGAGTGTATTTTTCAAACCTCGTTTTTGCCCCGTAAGCAGGACTAAAATGCTACCATAGAAGAGATTAAATCAGGTAAATTAGGTCAGCCCGAATGTTCGTCACAGTTTTCAGACCTATGCTCAAATCCCTCAGGAAAAATGGACAGAGATTTTATACGGTGAGCAATGCAGAATTCCTTCGTCTTTTTAGCGATGTCATTTTTCCACGTTTTGATAATCACTTGAAAAATCGTCGGAATTTCCAATCCATTGTTTTCAGTTGTCCTTTTCCGGATTTTTTTAGATTTTCATCCAAACTTTTGGAAGAGGCTTTATAGCATTTGGATAGATTATACAAATCGCAACCTAATCGCATTATCTTGACTCCTAAATCTGGCTTTCCAGCATTTTTAAGAGGATTATTCCGAAAGTCTCCACTTTTACGAAGTCGTCAAATACAATAACTTCGGACACTAACTGGAATTTGTAACTTCCAAAAATAGACCACGAGTGAACGCGTTTACCGCCTCCGAGTTTTGAATTTCGACCGGCCTGGGGCGCGTTCAAGAACAAGATTTAGAATTTTTTTTTCAGCAGACTTCACAAATCGAGAAAAAAACAGTAATCAGGATGAGCAGAAAAATCTGCATCTAAAGACACCATTATCGATAGAGAAAGGATGTTGTTGTTTAACATTTTGGCGGAGATAAACTTATCATCTTATTATATTCGGTTGATGCAAGAGTTCTTATGCTATTCGAAGACTTTGATGATTTTTGAAATAAACCTAAATTCATTATTTTGTTTCTACAAATATGGAAGATTTGTGCTTCATGATACTCCATGACAGATAATCAAACGTATACTACAAAGCTTTTGAAACTGGCGTTCATATTTTGCTACTTTGCATTTGATGCAAGATAATAAAAAAAATGAACTAATTTCTCTATAAACTGTCTGGTTGGCATTAAGCAACATGGACAACTATCAATGTGGCCTTGCACTCTCCATCCATAACATCAAAAACGTTTGATTCAAATGTAAGAGGTCTGTTAGCGTAAGCGTCATAAGAATGCGTCTCAAATGAAAAGGAGGAGAAGGGGAGAAAACTTTGAACACTTCAGCCATACAATCATTTTCCCTTAAGGCAGTGTCCAGACAAATCTGGGCATATGGGTTTTTTGCCGCTGTCAGGAGGGTCCTAGTCAAGGCAACTGCTTAAATGGCAGCGCAAATCATTTATTCACGGCTGAAAAATCCATCCCCAAACAATCCGCGGCTGCGCCGTGACTGTAACACTTAGCATGGGTACGCGAACGTAATGTTAAAGTGAGCGAAGTCGTTTCGAGTTACGGTCACGGCGCAGACACGGGCTTTTCGGGGACGGAATTCTCAGTCGTAAATGAATTATCTGCGCTGCCCCTTGGGCAGTGCCTTAGTTAGGACCCCCTCATCAATTTACACGCGGAAAACCCATGGGTCCAGATTTGCCTGGACACTGCCTTTATAGGCAGCGCCTAGGCAAATCTGGATATGGGGCTCTCACGTGGATCGTAATTTTGGGGTCCTAACTAAGCCACTGCCAAGTGGCAGCTCAGGTAGTGTTCTGACGGCTGAGGTATCTCGAGACTGGATCGTATTTCGCATGCATTCATGGCGCAACCCGTGGGTTCTCCCGCGAGACTGATGGCTCGCGCCATGAATCCATGCGAAATACGATCCCGTGATCCAGTTTCGAGGCGAATATCTCAGCCGTTAGTGCACTACCTGAAGCTGTCGGTTGGATAGTGGCTTAGTTAGGGTCCCAAAAATACATGAGAGTCCCTTAGTCCAGATTTGCCCGGACACTGCCTTTAACAATCAATGTGCTTCAAACTGAGCTCACCTTTGTCAACACGATCAGTTTCAAAGGATGTTTCGCTATGCGACTAAGCTGAAATATTGATTATTGATCATAAGTATAGCAGTAAAGGACAAACCAGTTTGTGATCATAAAAGAGGACATAGAAACACCAACAACAGTGGCAGGGACAATACCTCTGCCATTTTTTCGTCTTTTTATTGTGTGGAGTAAGATTCTCACTAAACTTCATCTAGGGCAGATACGTCAGATCAGCGCCCATGTCATTACGAGCCAATAACCGCAAACGAGAGACGGCCCTTCTCCACGGCAGTCTTCACCACCATACTGATTTTAACTTATTTCAACATACATGCGCGCCGCCAGTCTATCCTCCCACTGCTTTGCTTGGGCAGGGTTGACACTGCTTTGAAATTCCAGACCAGTTCCAGCACAATTCTCGCACTGTGCCGGAACAATGCGGAACTGTGCTGCAGCCGCGCGCATGCAGTTTTGAACAGTAGTCAAAAAGACCGTTTCCAATGGTTTTCCCTTACAGAGAGGGTCCGTTTAGTCTAAGTGGCCCGTTCACATGACATTGATACGACTATAAAGAACATCGAACGCTGATTCCGAATCTTTTCGTTATCTGCCGAGGGCCTCTGGACGTCGAGTTATGAGCGTTATTGGAGTTGAAATATTGAACGCATAATCAGAGCAAAATTCTTCGGAATTGCTAGTTGTCCAGTGTTGATTATCAGAGCACTATTTTTTGAAGAATACCTTCTGTCCAAAACACTTAGGGATCCGTCATACTTCGCCGAAAAAAGCCGGGAAAAGCCAAAACGCTCCTTCCGTTTTGACGCTAAGGCATGTGTGTTGATTTCGCAACAGAGTCTTTTTGATTCATTTGTCGTCTGCACATCAAAATTATGTCAAAATTCTACCATTCGTTCCCGCGTTCCGGCCCTTTCGGGCTTTTTAGGCCTTTTCCGGCTATTTGGGCTTTTTCAGGCTTTTTCGGGCTTTTTTGAGCGCTTCTCGGCTTTTCTCGGCGAAGTATAACGGGTCCCTTAAACTTGCTCACTGCTCTATTTGCAAGCTGAAAAAATCAAACATTTGATTTTGCCTAGATTATGCATTCATTTTTCGCACCAAGGAAATTATAACTCGGCATGCAGAGGTGCTTAGCAGATAATGAAATCAGATTTGAAATCACCGTTTGATGCTCTTCAAAGTGGTATGAGACTCACTTCGAAAGGCCACTTCGACTAATCGAACCAGGGCCCGGCACGAGTCGGTTTCTAGGGTTTCTGGAAACGAAGTCTCCCCTGACTTTCAGGAATTATACGAAGTCCCCTTTGTCCTAACTACTTAGGAGAAGATGAAAACGTGAGAAGTTTACTACTCTGAAAGAAAAACTGTGAAATAAGTGTCAAAATCCAGATTGGAGCTGAATACTACGCATGCACAAGAGTTTGGCATTGGAGCGGGATATTTGATAAAGCGATTCATGAAGAAATTAAGGCAAAAAACAAAGAAGGCAATGATATGAAAATGCCCTCATGCTCAGAGATAGATTTTTGACAGGAGAAGCTGTCGTTGATAGAAAAATCCAAAACTTATGTAAAGCGACGAAAATATATGCTCCAGACGATCTCAGATCGTCTGGTTGCCGTCTGGAGACGATCTAAATTTGGAAAAGTTATTTCTTCACAGAAGTTTCCAAAACTTTTGACATAATCCTTCCGCAAATAATTTCCTAAGTATACAGTTCATTTTTGGTGTATGATTCTGTGTGCGCTGTAGACAAGCAATTTGTTTAATTTAGCTTTGCTTTCAAATCGTGCGCACTTTTCGCCATACACGATAGAGCATGTCAATTGTGTAATGACCTGTCCGAAAAGCTTGCGTTCGACTAAATGGCGCTTATTCTTGATGTTCGGCACCGATTCGTCAAAAACGATATCTCCTTTGCTTTTTGCCCTAAAAACGAAGTCCAGCCTGCTTCCAGACGATCTGTGCCGAGCCCTGAATCGAATCTCCCTTGTTAGATATCACTCGTTTCGGGCTCATTTTTGTACACCGCTTCTCCCTGTGATAGTAAATTTGCGAACCTGGAGCGGGGGTAAAGAATGAGCGCATTTCTGTTTCTATGCATCCGGAAAGATGTGTCTTGGTGCGCTCGTCCATTCTCCCTCCGTTATTTTTGTTCATGTGTTCCAAGAACTACTTCATGTGTTTCAAGAAGCCGCCGCTAGTTTTCACAGGCTATTTTGAGCTAAGGCATGCCAACAATTTTAAAAATGCGGGAAATCGGAACTATTCTCTAGTTTTTGATGAGTTTCATTTTGGGTACTCCAGCCTCTTTCCTTTTTCCATATCATTGCCTAGTTCTTTCGAGTAACCCGCTTATCCGGGTGATGAGAAAAGCTGCGAACTTGAAGAGGGATTGAAGAAAGAACGCTGTTTCTCGTATTCGGAAATATAGGTTTCGTGGGCTCGTCCACTCTCTCTCTCTTCATTACTTTTGTTCAGACCTACTTTATGCGTACTAGAAAGCTGTTTATGACCCTTTTACAGAGCAGAATTACTCAGCGGCTTCTTGGAACACATGAAGTAGTTCTGAACAAAAATAACGAAGGAAGAATGGATGAGCACAAGAGGACACATGAGGGCGGCTTCAGAGCACGCAGCACAGTTCCGGCACAAGTGAGAACTGTACTGGAACTGTTTCGGAACTTCCGGATACCCAGCTTTGAACGAAAGCCGCCGCAGGGTATTCGCGCGCGGCGGTAATAATGAATAAAAAATTCCTGACGGCATTGTGGCCCTATGACCCTTCGCACACCAATTCCGAGTTCGCATCAATATGCGCGATGAGAAACAGTATTTGTGATTTCTGTTGTGCTTCCACAAAAGAGGTTGCCGCATAACGTCCTTTACCACAAAAATCATACATAGTCAGAAAGCATTAATGTGCGAGCAAAAAATCGCTTAACGTTATTCAAAATTACCATTTTATGATTAGAAACATGCTTAAAGGCAGCTGCTTCTCGGCAAAGTGATGGGCACTGGGATTTCACAACGTTGATGGAGATCCCCCAGCTAACATGTGAGGTTTAGAGAGGAAAAAGCGCGTCTGGAAAGCCTACTTCCGGACCCCGCCTGTACGTTCAGAACCGCCCACTTACACGCATTTTCCAGCGGAAGCGCATCTGAAAAGTGCGAAAAACCCATTTTTCTCCAACTCCATGCGGAGAAAAGCCCAAGGGTTCGGCAAGGCGAGAAGGCTCTGAAAAGGTGAAAAACTAAAGTGCGAGATTTCGCCGGGACACTGCCTTTAAGGTATATACTGGATTGCAGATCACATTTCGTGTGCATCATAGATGTAAAGTTTTCAGCAAATCATAGCGTTCTGATCACATTATACCGCATTCCAAGACACAATTCATTAGAGGCAGTGGCTCGGCAAATCTCAACCTAGTCACATTTGCGCTTACCTGGGGTTTTTCAATACGCTGATCCCGAAAATCCACTTTTGAAAGCTTGAAAACGGCGAAAATGAGCGTTTTTAATGCCCTTCCCTTTGGAATTGACGAGTGGAGCAAGGCTGATGACGCTAAATCGTGGCGGGACCCAGTGGTTATAGCGTTACGGCGGGCAGCCTCCAATGGTGAGAAGGAAATTGCCAACTCGTCCAGATGCGTGTAAGATTGCGCGTGTAAGTTTGAGAGCGATTTTCTCGGCAGGGAAAGCATGCTGTGCAATCGGGATTGCACTGTTTTCATACTTGGGCGATAAGGAACCTACCGCGTTAAAATCCCGAGTCGTTGGATTTTGCCGATCCACGCCTTTAATGACTACTTTCAACTTTTTTTGGACTCAATCACGTATGCAACAATAGTTATGGTCGTTCTTCAAAAACCATTGTTTTTGCACTCTATTGTCATTGCAAAGCTCTATGTGCGCTGATCAGGATTCAGTTACCCATTACTGGCAGAGAATTGTATCACACTCTGTGTCTATTACCGCCACTTGTCTTATTCGCCCACCATCTCAGATAATCGCCGGGGCAGGCGGTCCGCAAACTCGCGCTTTTCTGCAGGCGGTCAGCAAAAAAGTGGGGCGTGGCCAAACCTCCAGCGGGCGGCACTTCCTTTGCTGTCGCATGTTCTGCCAGCGGGCAGCCATACGGCATTTTGTGCAAGCGCTCGGCAAATAACTTCTTTCAGCGAGCGCTGGCCAAACTTTCAGCAAGCGCTCGAACTCCTTTAACGCAGTTTCGGGAGTACGCCGAGCAAAGGTAAGACTCTATATGGCAGAGGTGTCATCGTCGGTTTGATTACTCAAGTTTGGAGTACTTTCCCCCAGCGGAAAGTACCTACGGGCTTGCGGTCCTTCACAAAGGACTGTGCGGCCGTCAATAATTTTGCATATTCTCACGGAAAGTCCGCGGGAATGCGGCACTGCGCCGCAACTAATTTTTAGAAAAACCGCGATTGTTCTCCAAGCATTCGCTTAAAAACTGGCCAACATTCTTCCAAACATCTGCAAGCGGACCGCAAGAAATCAGCGAACTATTTTTTCGGTGCCCGCTTGCTCAAAAATCGCATGGCCGCCTGCCCCCGGCGATTATCTGGGATGGTGCACCGACCTCGACCACAGCAATATGCAACCGACGATCGTCCTCTGTCTTCCCAGTCTCTAAACTTATTCGTACTTTGCGTGAAAGAAGCGTAACAAAACCGTTATTTTATATGCATTACTTGCCTTCGCGGATAGAGTATCAATATTTTGATTAAACAAGAGGGTGAGAATCAATGACCAGCGTTTGACGTTAGCATACAATAATCTTATATTTAGTGCTGAATGTCTGTTCGTCTGTATGTCTGTCTGTATGACTGTCTGTATGTGTGTACGTATGTTCCGAATAGAAAATCCCATTCCTGAACCGATCCGGACCAATTGCACACATACACTTCGGGACCGCGCGGGTGTCATAGGCTACTTTTCGTCATCGAGCGATGTCGATTTTATCGTTTTTTATCGATTCTTTGTAAGGTTTGAGCTACGGGGCTGGGAGTTGGTACAAGGAGGGTGGGGGAGGGTAGTCGAGCATGCTGATTACTAAAACAGCGAGAATAGTAAATTGGCGTGTAGGCGTGGGCACAGGAAAAGGTTGTACTGGGATAGGGATGAGAGCTTTATCATAGTGTTTTGACAGGGCCAGGCGGAGCCGGGTAAGCCAGCTAGTTTGATATATTATGCATACAAAAGTAAAATTTAGTCATTGAGCGTAATATGATGTTGAAATTTCAACCTCTTTCACAACCATTACAGCAATGGATGTTTTAGCAATAATTATGACTCGTTCAAATGCAGTAACATCAGTAACATCCTTGAGTTGCCTTCGAAATTCATCTGCACCGCTCTGGATTTGAATGAAGTCCACGAATACGGGCAACATGCCAAGGAGTTTCTGTATATTTTCCACGTTTCCTGTAAAGACTTGCTACTACACGGTCTCAAAGCGAGAGCAGGAACGAACCGTGCGAAGAATGAAAGAAGACGCTCGTATTAGTTGATAGATTGAGATTAGGCAGAATATCCAGAATAACATTGTTATATACAGTCTCCGTAGGTAACAAAAATATCTGGTTTTTAGAAACTTTGTCTGCAATGGTCTTTATCACACAGCCTATAAAGAAGCTACAATCAGCAAACCTAGCCTTAAATTGGAATTTTTTCTCTGAGTTTTGATATGGTAGTTTGCTCATCCCCTATAAAACGCGTCCGGTGGCATAGGCATACCCGTGGCCGAAAAAGTGCACTCAAATCGTTTTGCGCAAGCCAGTTTGGTCGCGCTCAGACAGCTTCGAGATTCCCCTCACACTGTTTGGGGGACATGGCGCAATAGTACAGTTGCAGCGGTAGAATTTGTCCAAAATTGCGGGATTGTCGGGATTCGCGGGATTGTTGGGATTCGCGGGATTTGCGGGACAAGCGGGATTTAGCTGTAACTCTAGAACAACTCTATATAAAATCGGCAAGAAGAATCAGCTTCAGCTTGATGAGACGAATCTTTTGGTACACGGTATGTCCGTAATTCATGGTGACACGGTAGTCATATGGTGTACCTTGTTATTTTCTGTGGTAAGGCTTTTGTGAACATTTATCACAGTGTAAGTGTCATTCTGTCATAGGAGAATTCAAAAAAACTTCGATACGGAGGCAACCGCCCATGTACGCGCATCGTTCGCGGGCGTGTGGATTCTGATGGAATGATGCTCGAGCACGCCGTTTGCGCCGTTTTGCACCTTAGACCGATCGCCTTCGTGGATCTGGATCTGTATGTCCATACGCAGAAAACAGAAGTGCTCAGCTCATAGTTGAAACTCCTGTTGACAGGCGACTCTGTTCATACACAATTTATGAAGCGGTGAAATTTTCTGGAAAAGCAACGTCTCCAAGGAGACGGTGTCATGCGCATGATGAGCAATCAATCGATTGCTGCAGTGAGGAATCGGATCTATCTACTGCACCGAATGCGCAACTGAACCGAAAAAGCCTGTAGATCACATACTACAAGAGATAGAGCGATAAAAACTCGCACAGGGTTTTCTAAAGTACATTTCTTTATGTCAAAAATGATACAATTTGGTGATATCATCAATGATAAATGATAAAATGACGATATCAGTGACAATGACAGATAAGAATGGCTTTAAATTCATGCTGTCGATTTCCACGTTCATCTTCCATGGAGGGCAAAATCTCAGCCCAGGCTTGGGCGTGAAGCGAGTTGAGACAAAAATGCCATTTTAGGCAAGAATTGGCAGCAATGGCATGTGCCAATGAGAAATCGATCGATTGCTGCAGCGAGGGATCTACCAATTGCACCGAGCAATAGAAGTAGAAAAGCCTGTAGACCACTTATAATGAGAGAAAGAGCGATAGAAATTCACTCAGCGTTTCCTGCAGTACTTTTCTTACCATATGCCAAAAATTATTCAAAAATGTTATATTTTCAGTTATAAATGATCAAATGCTCATATCAGCGTTAAGGGTAAATAAAAACTGCCCAATATTTAGCGATAGTTTTCGATAATGAGAACTTCGTACCAGAACCTGCTATTCGCGATTTACGCTGTGATAAATGTTCACAAAAGCCTTGCCACAGAAAATAACAAGGTATCACCATATGACTACCGTGTCACCATGAATTACGGACATACCGTAAACCAAAAGATTCGTCTCATCAAGCTGAAGCCGATTCTTCTTGCAGATTTCATATAAAGTTGTTCTAGAAGAAGTCACAGCAAATCCCGCTTGTCACACAAATCCCGCGAATCCCGCAAATCCCGTGAAGTCGCGAATCCCGCGAATCCTGCGAATCCCGACAATCCCGCGAATCCCGACAATCCCGCGAATCCCGACAATCCCGCAATTTTGGACAAATTCTACCGCTGCAACTGTATGAGCATAAAAGTTCCTCAACAACTTTAAACTTCAGCCTTAGTAGGAGTCAACCTACACGTTCAAGTGAAGGATCTTGGATGCTTGTTTCTGTCATTTTTGCGCTTCTCAAAGTTGTCTTTGATATAAGCTCGTGGGATAATCCCGAAGAGCGAAACACCTTGGCTCGAAAATTTGTCAGGCCATTGCCTATGGATCGGTTTTGTGTTAAGTTTTGGAGGTGAGCCAATTATGTTCTAACACTTAATTGTAAATCACAGAATTGGAGACGGGTCTTGTCTACAATCAGAAAAAAATCCGCTCGGACATTCAATTCAAGCATTGCCCTGAATGAGAGTGAGCTGAATTAGTGCAGAATAAACTTATGTCTTTTGAACCTTAAGTAAATAAAAGTAAGGGCTCCTACCATTTTCAACTTATTTAAGCGTAAATTTGCAAAGCTTTCGGAAATCTGTAAATATTCGCCGATAGCACTGTAATGCATCTCTGACACATCGACGGATGCAATTATTCAAGTTCTTGAAACGGTGATATGCATATTTGAACGTTTTTTTCGTCAACCATTTTCTATCCTTCTTAGCGAAAAAATAAGATGCATTATATTGTGCATGCAGGGTATGCAGCGAGATCGAGTCGTGTGTTAATTACTCTTTGAACATACTTTCAGTTTGCGAACAAATCAAAGAGGGATCTAGCAGGTTTTCGCTTCAGGATCCCTGTTTCGCAATCAAAAAAAAAACGGCGGAAAGTTAGTTTCTTTTGCTACTGTCTTAGAAGCAGTCACTGTTCGGAACTCAGATAAACGCCGGGGCAGGCGGTTCGCAAACTCGCGCTTTTCTGCAAGCGGTCAACAGAATTTTGGGCCAAACTTTCAGCTGGCGGCACTTCCTTTACGGTCGCATATTCTGCCAGCGGGCAGCAATACAGCATTTTCTGCAAGCGCTCGGCAAATAATTTCTTTCAGCGAGCGCTGGCCAAACTTTCAGCAAGCGCTCGGACACTTTTAGGCAGTTTCGGGCATACGCCGAGCACAGGTAAGAGTCTGTGTGGCAGAGGTTCACCGTTGAATTAATGCTGCGCGGTCCTCCACAAAGAACCGTGCTGCCCTCCAAAATCTTGCATATTCTCGCGGAAAGTCCGCGAGGATGCGGCCATTGCGCCGCAGCTGATCTATAAGAAAACCGCGATTATTCTTCAAGCATTCTTCTAAAATTTCGCCAACATTCTTCCAAACTTCTACAAGCGGACCGCAAGAAATCAGCGAACTACTTTTCCGGTGCCCGTTCCGCCCATAAATCGCATGGCCGCCTGCCCCCGGCGATTATCTGAGAAGTGGCAATAGTCAAGAAGGGGAGGGACAGGAAAAGTTCATAGAAACGAAAAGTCTTCTTTCTTCAAAGCCAGAATGCACGTCAGCTAATTATCGATGTGACCTTTGAAGTTTTACCCCGTCTTATTTTCGCTACCGGCGACCTTACCTGTTGTCCTCCATTCTAAGCAAGAAATTCTTAAGTATAAACAGATAGTTTTGCACTTACTCCAAAATACTTATGAAGAAAAGAAACTCTGCCATTTTCCAAAAAATGTTTCGCCAAAATCGAAATATAAAGTCGCTGCAAAAATTGTGTCAGTTTTTTGAATCCACCAGCAAAAATAGTAGAATAAAGATAAACAAGACTTCACGCTGTACTTGACGCGGAACATCTTCCTTTTCTCAGCTGCTTTACTCTCAGTGTAATTTTTGAGAAACTGCTGAGGTGATCGCTCGGCATCAAAATCCCTCGTTTTTACCTTTAAGCTTTGAGAACCTAGCTGCATATTTTGGCGCAGTAGGGCGAACACGATCCTGCATATTTTTGTACTGATAAATTTGCGCTTTGCATGCACGATTTCTTAGAAAAATGACCTTTGATTAGCGGCTCATAACTTCGCCCACATAGGCGCTAAGCAGATATGGAATACAGACTCGAAGTCAGCGTTTTATTCTGCATCTAATGGTGTGCAGATTGGATTGACCACTTCGACTTCTGACCATTTCCTTGTGAGTAGTTATGAAGTGCTTCCTCATAGTATCACATTTCTGCCCTTTTACGTGTGAAACGATCACATCATTGTATGAAATAGAACCTTGTACGGTAACTTCCTTTCTGAACATTGATGATGTAATATCTTCTAGGAAAACACTAGAACATTTGAAATGATATAGTGGTTTCATATAAGCGTCTCACAAAAAAGTGCCCATCAACATTTGTGATGACGAAAGGTGGTCTAGCTGCTGGTAACCAAATTTGATTTAGAATGAAGCAACTATGAAGCAATCATGGCGACCTGCTGGTCTCTGACTTGTTTCCCAACTTTGTATAATTGAGTGGCTGAGAGACTGTACAGGATGATCGTTCGTTTTTCTCTGTTAGATTTTTTAGCTAGAAAATCTTATTTTTGGTATAAGGTTTTCCAAATTTCGTGACCGCAGTAGTTGGAAGAAATCATTATGTGAATATCTAGGGTAGCAAGGCACAAACTAACAGATCTTATTCCCAAAACCTGAGAAACTCAAGCCAAACAATAATGTTAGCAATAATCATAGGTTCAAAGCGAATAATGGATAAGTACAATATGCGCCAAGAAGCAAACAAACATTATATGTCAACTAGAAAAATTATAAGCGTTAGGATCGACATAGCCACAGTAAATGTATTTAACAACTCTTCTTATCAGTTATCTGATGGGAAAAGTCTTCTCAATAGATTTCATCCTGGACATGCATAGATTGTGCCTCTGGCTCCCAAAAAGGTTGCACTTTTTCTTGCATAGGTTACGCCTATGAGCCCCAAAAAACATGCACTTTCTCTTATGTGGACCTTCGTCTCAAATGATGAACTGGCTCCGTCACTGTGCCAATCGAGGGCAGAATAACCAAAACTAAAGTATGAGGTTTGCTTGTTTGAATTGAAAATGAGAGCGTTGGACATAAAGAGCGTCCTTTCTTCCTTGCAGATTGACAAAGAGAACGGTCTCATATTGCTCGTAGAACTGTAAAGCCATCAGCAATCTCGATACGAAAACGTTACCCTGGTGCAAAGACAAATATTGTAACCATTGCACGGCTTGCTGCCAGAACCGTTTTTCAAATCTTGAGGAAGTTTGAGACTAACCAGTAATATTTTCGTGAGGTAAATCCCAAGCGTTTCGAATGATGTTTATCGTGGGGATACCAGACTGCTCTGATAATTCCATAACTAGTCGCTGACCTTCCTCAGTTTTACAAGCATTTATCAGGAGACTGACATCGGTGATTGAACCGCAGACTAAAATAGTCCGACTTTCCCTTATGATATCGAACCTGTGCTCATGTCTTGAAAACTAGGAGTTGACTAAAGAAAGGATCGATCGAATATTATCTTCGCAAGTTTAGTGCCGTTCTATCAGAAAGAAATGCTTACGCTCATCTGAAGATGTTACATTCGTAGCGATAATATGCTTCATGTTTATACTGGGCATATTGAGTGTATGGGAGTGGTACATTTGAGATAAGCTTAAATGCTGGTAAATGGTCAGACCTTCACCATCGTCCTCTTCGGATACGAAGGCTAAAAGCTTCCCCCTCATCATGTACTAATCAAAAATGCCGCACAAATAGCTTACCTATTATCTCTTCTGATGCTGTGGCATGTATTACAGCTTGCAATAATATGTATATGGTAGAAAATATAGATGGTGACATGTTTACTAGCTCGTTAACGACTTCAAAAGGTGATGTACAGTGATATTTTGTTGAAGTGAGTCAAAAAGCGCTAATAAATAATTTAATACTGAGTTTCATATCGCATTACATATCGAAGCCAGAGTTCAAAAAAGTTTGAGAAACAATGAGTTACTCACACCAATATATTCTATTTTTGATGTTTGCAGTATTGCCTAAAATAGACGAAAGTCAGCGTAATTCACGAGGTAGGTGCAAACACATCAGACTTGTGCTAGTTAAATATCTAAGCAAGTTGTCCACAAATTGAAGAAAGTGAAAGATAGCCAATGAAAGTTGAGACTGGCTTTATGCTCTACAGTCATAGTATCTTGCTCGAATAACAATAGAATCACTTTGTTGAGACACTTTCAGAACAAAGGTCGAACGTGCAGAGTTAGGCTGACTGAGTTAAAGAGATGGGCAAAGTGGAAAAGTTACTCTTTGAAACGACTAAATTCAAGGCCGGCATCCGTTAACAACAGAACGCTTACTATGAACGTCTAATCAGAGAATCTGAAAATAACTACTGAATGCAAGTAGTGTGGCATCGCGAGGAACAGAGAATCACACTTATATACAACTAGTTGGCGTACCCGGTCCAGCCCGGGCCATTAGTCACCTGCACTGCAAGTCCCCCCCCCCCTTCTTATATGTTGTGGATGACTTACCCTGGAATCCGCTTCGAAACCGCATCCTCGTGATCCTGAAATGAAAATGAGCTTCACCGCCCTTCTTTACAGACTATGGTAAAATGCTTGATTGAACATGATAAACCCTCAATTCCTTAGAAAAACGTAAACAAATCAATAAATCGATAGAAGGACCCAACGAATCGCTGCGAAAAGTAGCCTATCATCTGCGCAGGGGTCGAAAACATATGTGTGCAAAGTTTCAGCTGAATCGGTTGAGCGGTGCGCGTTTCTATAACGCACATACCCTCCAAACTGACAATTTTTGAGTTATATATATATATAGTTTTGGTACAGAACGTTGATTATTCATCGTTGTCAAAGTGAGAAATGACATCAATGAGATATGAAGTTTTGACAAAAGTAAGTAAGTTTAAGTAGTTTAAAGTAAGTTTTGACAAAAATTGCTTTGAATCCCGAGATATAGCAGGCGTTACAAAAAAGTCCATGATCTATAGTAGAGCCTACAAAAAATTCTTATGAACCTCTGAGAGTTTCAACATTAGCATAATATAGCAATTTTAAACAAAAGCGCTACAGGACCGGATTAGGATATTCATCATACCAGCATACAAGGGATCGTGTAAGTTTCAAAACTTACATGTATTTTTGCAGCGTGGACTCAATCCACGGTGCCAGGAGCTGATGTTGCGCGTCTGACTGAGCCCAAATTTTCAATAATGGTACGTAAACCATTTGCATGTAATTGCATCACAAAAACCAAAGATCCATAATCTTACCCATGCAAACCGTCTGCGAATATGAAATGGCAGCCCTCTTTCTAGCAAAGATGGTGCAAAAGTAATGCGCAATTCTTTTGTCACAGCGACAGTGAATAGATTCCGAAGCACGTTCTACTGACTACCGAACAGCCGCCTAGACCGTAATCCACTTAGAATTAACAGCCACAATCTAAAACATTGAGTACCTCAAGAAGCCAGCCCAGAAAAGTAATTCACAAAATTTCTTTTTAGTTATCAAGTAATATATGCAATCATTCGTTCGGTATTACGGTGTAGATGAGGCAAATGTTTGATAATCGGCAAGCACCCTACTTTCACAATAACTGCATTCAAGTCTTTGGAAGTAGAACCAGGAAAACCTTACCTTGTATACGCCCTAATCATCGAAAAATATTAAATTTGGCATAAAACATATGAAACGAAAAAGCCGATATTTTCGTACTTTTAGTCTGTTTTTGTTTCTTTACTCGCTTCACTAATTCCACAACTGCATTTGTGAATTCTTTCATGTGTCATGATGACCAAGTGAAGGCCTGCAAGATTTTTTCTGGCGGAAATCTGATTTGTGGAGCGATTGAACACCTTTCGATTTTGGCTTCCAAACTGAGGTAGATCACTTCCTATGGGCCGTATGCATTAACATCCCCGCCGTGGAGGGGATCGCAGCTTCAGAAGAAAGCTTCATATCCTCAAGCTCTTATCCGAATTTCACGCTGTCTACCTATCCGTAAATACTCCCACCATCCTTCACTATGAACATCTTGAACGAGAGTAAGAAGCTGTACAAGCCGCATTTTCCGGCTTTTTGTATGATCCCCTGATGATCCCCCGCGGCCGAACGTCTCTTGTTCAAAGTCATTTTTCTTCCTTCAAAGTTAACGAAAGCCTTTCAAAATTGTACTGATTATCTAATTCAACAGCGCTAAGCAAATTCCATCCCCGTCAGGGGATGTTAGTGCATGCGGCCCTAAGAGATTTTTTTAGTTGTCTTGTAGATCTTATTTTGCTCCATCGAATAACCCTCATGCATTTCTGATATTCACAGTGCGGCAGTCCCATAAAGAATGCTCATTATTTGCACCAACTTAATGAATCCCTTCTCAAGGTTTTTAAATATGATACGAGCTTATACCTTGTTCTCAAAATTGCAGATTGAATACGATTTTCGTCTTCAACACATCACTTCAAAATGTATGAAACACTGAGGTTTACAGCTTGATAGCAGACCGATTGACATTTGCTTCACTTTTTTCGCAAAACATACTTTCGTTTGTTGTCAAATTGGAAGCAAATCAATGTTCCATGCTTATTTTGTGATACGCGAAATCCTTTTTTGGATTTCCTTTGGATGACTACCTTTCGTAGCTTTGTCCTTTGCAGCAATATCGACGGTGTCTCTTACTAATGTCAGAGACTAATGAGTTCATGCAACGTTTTTCTTTGACATGAGAAAGAGCATGAAAGTGAGAAGCTATGCGTTTCCCGTTGTGTGTTTACGCAGTGACTGAACTCATGGCCGCAATTCCAAATTTGCCAATATGTCTGAAATGCATGTAACGGTCTCATGCATGTCTGTATGTAAACGTTTCGCAGTTATTGTGAAAAAACTGCTTCAAGTACGCTTTTTATTATTATGTCTCAAGGCACGAATAAACAAGAAGTTTTTTTCAGGAATGGCCTTATCCAATCCAACGAGACGAACTAAGTTTAATGGCGCTGAAGCGATTGACAGTAAGAGCTAATCCAAGACGAAGGAGGTCGCCCATGCACGCGAGGCGTGCGCGGCGATCTCCAGTGATGAAAATGCGCGAACATGCTGGTCGCAGCCGCCTCGCACGCCTTCGTCATGGAAGAGCTTTTAAAAATAGAGAGAGGCTTGTCAAAAAATGATACTCATGCTTCTGGAAGTGGGCAAGAGCACGGGTGGTAAGTCTGCTCTTGTTGGGGGAAATGTCTCTGTTTCGTTTAGCATTTAAAAAAAAACCCTCCACATCGGATTCCGCCTACGGCTCCGGGTGGTATAGGCCGTCCGCGTTGCGCACAGAGAGCAACTCTGTTGCGCCCATTGAAGATATTTCATGACTGGAAGAAGCGCAGAGAAAACAGGCGGCGAGAGTGCACGGAGAAAGAGGAGTGACGCGCAATACACGCCTCGCGCACTCTCCCATACGCGGACGGCCTATAACAAGAACGATATCACGATGCTCAGGGCATCATCTGAATCGGACAAAAACGACCGTTGTCCGGATGAGAGGGCAAGCTTTAGGCGACAAGACGAGCAAAACGCCCGTAACTCACAAAGGAAGCGTCATTTTTTCGATAGCGTCGAGATATGTATTGGCCCGACCTCCCACCACCTTTTTGCCGTCGAAGACGTTTTGGGGAGTTCCTCGGGATACCAGAATTTGGTCGCCTAGCGACCTACAACCCGCGGACAAGAAAACGCCACAGGGACTGCATGCTCTGCACCTAAAACGCCAGGACAGTCTCCACAACGTCGGCTTCCACGCTCTCCTCGAGGCTGCAAAGCACATCAAGTACCACGCCATCGCTCTGCAGGAAACGAAGTGACTGATGTAATACTTATCATCTGTGATGAGAAAGTTCCATCATGGAACAGTGGAGGTGTTGGCTTCGTCGTCCATCCATTTATTGTCCTTCTTTGTAAATTCGTATTGGATCTTGTCACCTCGACGAGCTATCCTACGTTTACGCTCTCCACGTCAGAAAACCATCAACATTATCAACTGCTACTCTCCATATCAGCAGCTGAAGAATTAAAACTGAATGCTTTTTATGAAGACAAAAAGGAGGTCGTCCGCAACGAGAAGTCCTTTAACAAATTTGTTTAAGCGAACGCAAGGAAAATCGCGAAGTTACTTAAAGAGGAATTTATGAGCTCCAGAACGAAGGCGGCAAGTTCTCGTTGGAATTCTCTCCGCCGCACTACTTTTCCAAGGATACTCCAACTTCATGAAAAAAAAGAACAACGCCGGTGGAAGGAATCGCCCAACAGAACCACTCACGCAGAGACCGGCCACTTGCTCACCAATCGAAGGTCGAGCTTGCTCGATGTCTCTGCGGCTTCAATCTTCTGCAGTGGCTCCGATCACCGCCTCTTTGAGCAACGTCGAAAGCTAGAAAAGAATGTCTGCCCAGTATACTTAGTAAGCGTAGCGGCAGTGGAGGCGTGCTCCTGGCTGGCAAGAACAGAACACCGATCAGTACTTAGTAGTTTATCGTTAAGGCATCAAAGTGGACAGAGGACAGTATATGAATATGCGAGAATAGGAGATCATCGGTGAAGTAGTTGAGCTTGGAGATTGGATAGGTACTGGATCGGAACAGCATCAGCCGGAGACGAGGAGGGGTACAGTAGGACGGCCGGTCGGTGTCGGGGCGAAGGGTCGACTCCTCGAGGCTTCGTATCGTCGGTCACGCCCTAAACATATGAATCATGTCTTCTGGCATTCCATCGGAGATGCAAACGGAGATGCAAAAGCATCTCCCTTACACCTCCCTTATTTACCAACAAGTCCGTCCTCGGACTTCTAATTAAGAAAAAGTATGTAAGACAAAGTATATGAAAAGAATTATATAAAGGAGTATATACGGAAGTGTATAAATAAAGGTGTAGTATATCATAAAATATAAACAAATAGTATGTATGGATATAAAGAAAACAACGAAATATATAATGAAGGTGTAAATATATATAAAGAGAACTAATTATGAAAATCCCACCGTTGTCCAGGAGGAAGATACTGGTCCAGTTGAGCGGCAGGTACCACGGCGTGGCGTTCTTCGGCCCAGGCCAACACTCGGTTCCAGAAGTTGATGCGACGAGGTGAATCAGTATGGCCCAGCACGAACAAACCTTGGCGAGAACGGGTGAGCGCAACATTCATGCGTTTCTGGTCATCTAGGAACTCGCCAGAAGTAGGCTCAAAATCAGTTCGGGTGGTGAGGAGAATAACGATGTCTTGGGAGGAAGAACTGGGTAACACCATCAGGTACTTGCAAGAAGTCGATAATGAGCGAGAAACTGCCAGGGCGTATGAGAGGATGACATTCCGCTCAAGGTTCCTCACTGGACGATTCGGCGGCAGCGAGTGCTGAACAAGCGACTCTAAAGAGATGAGCCATGCGTTTCTTGGCTGCGCGAGGATCACGAATGTAGCTATCAAACTGGTCAAGACGATCTTCAAGCCAAAGCCATTCGCTGTCATGCTCCTCGCGTGCGGGGACCCCAAGATCAGAGGTTGAGGAAGATTCACAGTCGGCACTGGTGGAAGAAGTGGACATCAATGCTTCCATTTCTCTCGGCTCGGAGGTGAGTGGCACATGAGTAGGCGCGGTCAGTTGTTCCATGCCTGCAGCTGGTGTAGGAGTAACTGTCGAGTCGCCTTCCATAGCCTCGCCGGGTAATCCTAAACGACAGAACGTCACAATTATACGAGCAGAAGGTAAACGAAGAGTTGTATGGAAAGGGAATCTTATGATCACTTGAAAGCATGCCGAGTCACGGCGTGCGGAAGCTGGACCAACCTGACGATGATGTCACCGGTGAGGGCCCAGCAGGGCTAGCGCTAGGATTAGCAGGCTGCCCGGGGCCAGGATCGTTTGCGTCTGGAGTTAGCGAAGACATATGAACGCAAGGGGCTTTTCGCCAAGCTTATCTGCAAGCATAAATATAGTAATCTGCCTGATGTCAGGGAGACGAACGATGCGACGGTGAGCGAAAAACACGAGGTTATAAGACGACGGTAGGCAATAAACGTGAACACTATACGCGAGAACAGTAATGAGGAGGACATAAGAAAATCTGTGATGAAATCATAAGTGTATGTAAAAATGAAACGCGTTGGGAAGAAATAATTCTGAATCCACATATGAATGATATCGAATACTGGGAGGGCAACCAACAGGTTAAAGTGATGTTCTTCGTGATCTAAAGCGGGTGTTATACGGATGTGATGGTGGCGGCTCAGATTCTGTCAAGGGCTGATCAGCTAAAGTTTGATGCTGATATCCTACCAGATCAGTATCAATAGCTTGATGATGAGTTAAGGCTAATTGTTCAGGCTCTGGCTGCCAAGGAGTAGTGAATACAGGACCACTAAGTTCAAAACATCGCTTAACTTGATTCATGTGAACAATTTTAGGTTTAGACTGTGGTGCGGTAATACTAAGTATGGTAAGATGAGGATGATTGACTTCCAAAACGCGGAACTGTCCTAACCAAGGATAAGCTAGCTTAGCAGAAAGTCCAACCTTAAGAGCAAAATCACGTAAATAAACTCGATCGCCAACTTTGATGGATAACGGAGAGAGATGCGTGTTATCAAACTGAGACTTGAACTTGTTGCGCTGAACTTCGTTATGTTTGGCGGCAGCGCGCCAAGCGGCATGGAGAGTAGCTACTAAGTTCTCGAGATAAATACTAGAGTCTTGATCAGTAGGCGTGTGTCGCTGAGAATCATGCTTGATAAGCAAATCAATGTTAAAAACAGGATCACGTCCAAAAATCAAAAAGAAAGGAGTATTATTAGTACTAGTATGAACGGAAGTGTTGTACATAAAGGCACAGGCTGGCACAAATTTGTCCCAGTCAGTCTGATTCTCGTTAATATAAGTACGAAGCATAGGATGAAAAGTGGCAAAAATACGCTCACAAGCTCCATTGCCTTCGTGGTGATACGGGGTAGTGAAATATCGTCCAATGCGTAGCAAGCGTCCAATCTCGGATATGAGCTCTCCTTTGAAGTAGGAGGCATTGTCTGAAATAAGCTGTGTCATGACACCGAATTTGAGTATACATTCAGTCATAATGGCGTGAGCTACTGTGACCGCGCTGCAATCCGGTAAGGGTGCTGTGATAACATACTTGGAGAAGTGGTCCAACAGGGCCAGCACGTACTTATTACCTGATTCGGAAGTGTGTAAAGGACCGGTAAGGTCCATGTAAACTTTATCGAATACGGTTGTGGTGACTACTGGGAGTAATTTCTCGCGATTGAATGCCTGGGCGCGTTTGCGTTGGCAGGAATCACACGCCTTGGAGAGGGCGAAAATCTGCTCGGACATATGTGGCCAAAAGTATTTTCGCGCGATTTTCGCTAAAGTTTTGCGCCAATTAAAATGTCCGCCAGCTGTAGCGCTGGTGTGCATTGCATGAAAGACTGGTTCACGGAGTTTTTCCGGTAAGAAGAGTTGTTCTATAATAGCGTCGGGGCGATGGGGGGACTTGGTAAGATGGTACAAACAACCATTTGCGCGTAGGTGGCAATCTTCAGCTAAGCGAAGCCATTGGGCCTTATCTGTTTCCGAGGCATTATCGGGAAATTGTCCTGTTTCCAGGAACGACATGATAGGGCTGCAAACTGGGTCGCGCTTCTGCTCTAGTAAGGCATCATAGGGCTTAATCGCAATTGGAGTAACAAGGGAGGAATTGGTTGGTTGGAGAGAACGCAAACGATAACCTTGTACCGCTAGACACATAGGAAATTCTACTATGTCTTCAGACTCTGGGGTGTTATCCTGAAACTGAGTCTGAGGGTTGACTGATCGTGAAAGGCAATCGGCCACAACATTTGATGATCCCTTCAAATATTCTATGGTTATGTTATAACTTTGGAGCTCGACTACCCATCGCGCTAAATTATCATGGGTCTTATTGTGTTTGAGAAGATACGTCAGTGGGCGGTGGTCAGAGAAAATACGGGTCAAATGACCATAGATAGTGGCTTTGAAGAAGCGAAGAGCGCTTACCATTGCAAAAAGTTCTATATGAGTGGGACTCCACTTTTGTTGAGACTGGGATAGAGCTTTACTGTAATAGCCAATAGCTAATAGGGATTTCTCATCGCTAGCTGCTTGCTGGAATAATGCGGCGCCTACGGCAACTTGACTACCATCCGTGTGGAGGATAAAATCACGTTCTTGAGGGAACGCCAAACATGGCTTGGTTATGAGTTTATTCCGTAGTTCGTCAAAAGCTTGCTGCTGGCGCGGGCCCCATTCAAATTTTGCTTTATCCTTGGTTAGTTCATACAGGGGTGCTGCTATGGCGGCGAAATTTTGTATAAATTTTCGAAAGAAATTGACCATTCCTAGAAAACATTTGACTTCTTTGACTGTAGAAGGGGTCGGGAGGCGCTTAACCGCTTGAATGTTCCTATCGCAAGGGTAATAACTATCTCCCGAAATTTCATGCCCCAGGAAGGTGATTTTGGAACGCGCAATGTCAACCAGTTTCTTGCCTGATACCTTGATATCGAAATCGCGAAAGCGGCGGAATACTTTACGCAAAGAATTTAGGTGGCTTGGGAAGTCCTTGTCGAAAATGACAATATCATCCAGGTATGCCAGGCAGTTCTCTTCCAGACCGGCTAGGATACGGGACATGGCACGAGAGAAATACGCGCCGGCGTTTTTGAGTCCAAAGGGGAGATAAACAAACTGGTAAATCCCGCGGTGCGTTGCCCAACCGCATTTGGCTTGACTCTCTGGTGAAAGTAGAAGTTGCATGTACCCAGATGCTAGGTCAAGGGAAGTATAATACCTGTTACCCGCAATCTTTTCTAGGATATCGTCAATACGGGGTAAAGGGTAATGGTCGGGGATGGTAATATCGTTTAGTGGGCGAAAATCGAGGCAAACGCGAAGGGTGCCATCGCGCTTCTTGACCAAAACCGTGTTATGAACCCATGGGGTATCACTCTCCCTAATCCTGCCGGCTTTCAACAATTTATTAATGTGGTCGTCAAGCTCCTTCTGGAACTTAACCGGAATACGGGTAGGTCGGAACCTCGTAGGAGGAATTTCGGTAGTGGTCTTGATGTGGATTGCCTCGCAATCGTATGAACCTAGGTCATAGGAACTTTGGGATATCCTATCGCGAAACTCGTAAAAGAGAGCTTGTAACTGCTCTTTTTCTTTGTCAGAAACTTCGGACTTGCTAAGATCAACAACAAAATCAGCTTTGGGTTCTGGAAGGGGACAGCGATCAGCCGCAGCAAGAGGTTGTAAGGCAAACAAACTCATGCTAAAAACACCGGGGGTCCGAAAGCACCCCATTCTCCTCTACTAATGGAACCGCAGTAGAAATTCTCTGATTCTTATATAACACTTGGGGACTACTAGTAGGATTTGAAACTAATAGGTGAATCGTACCTGCGGTGAATACAGTAGGAGAAACCAGTAACGAGCGCTGGAGTAGGTCCTCGGATTGCGTCACCAGCATGACCGGCACCGTAGGACTCGAAGAAGTATAGCACGGCACATACGTTTCGGTTCCAGGTTGTAAAGGTGTTGTTTCTGAAACACGAACGATAACATCTCCTTCTACTTCCGCTTGCAGTCGTTGTGACACAGTGCCAAAAATTCGGATTTGCTCGCCATTAATAGTAAAAGTATGATTTGTGTAATCGATGGACCAAGGTGGGAGTTGAGACAATACATTGTTACCTAGGATGAGATTAAAAGAGGCTGCATGATGGGGGATTGAAGATTCATCCGTAAAATGTACAGCAGCAGGGATGTGATATGACCCTATCTGGAGGTTAAGACGTGCGCATCCTAGGAGACCTATGGGTATACCCGCCATCCCGATGGCGGTGTCTACTGAGCTGCGCTCGAAGTGGAAGATACCTACCAAGGTAGCTAATTCACGGCTTGCGACGGAGATAGCAGCGCCAGTGTCAATAAGGCCTAATAGAGCTATACCGTTCGCTTTGATAGGAATTTGCGCCACAAAGAAATGGGTATTATCATACAAGGATAAGACGTGAACCGGAGCTATTGTTAGCTTAGGTGGCCATGCGTGCGAAGAGTCTAGCGCAAGACGAGTAAGCTCGATGGGTTGTTCCTCTGAGGTATTTGCCACAGAAGGTATAGGGAATGAGTTGCTAGAGGATGAACAAATAAAAGGAAGCGGACGCAACGGAGTGCGCAAATTAGAAGGAGCTATGCGTGAGAGAATACCAGCATAGGATACGTTGATATACAAAAGAATTAACTTCTTTAGAATTGCTAAAGTCACAGTTATGCAGCAAATAGTTATCCATGCGTTGTACGGGGAAAACCCTATCAGGGCAAATAGAAGAGAAGAGCTGCTACCCGATTGGGAATCAGGAGAAACTTGAGAAGAGTAATCATTGTTACCTAATGTACCAATAAGTTTGTGGAAATTCTGAGCTGTCCAAAGTTCTTGTAACTGATGCTCTTGCACGAGCTCACTAAAGTTCGTAAGCACTAGATTATGAAAGATTGTGAGAGATGGAATGAAATTAACGTCATGGGGAACAGAAGCCAATGAGATATTGTGAATATGTTGATTAGATATTTTAGAAAATGAGTGGGAGGGTGCATCATACTGGAGAACTCCATCAGGAAGAGAGAAGTAAAAGGGGCGGAGTTTGGCGCAAGGTAACGGATCAGCGTTGGAAGTAAGTACCCAACTATGCCCTACCTGTGTTTGCGTGGAACGTGCTAGCCGCTTAGCTTTAGCAATTGCATAACCCTGGTCGGTAACTGTTAGAGAAGTACCGCAGTCAACTAGAGTAGAGCTGTCACTACGCCAAGATAAAGCAAACTCTTTCGAGTCGCTAATCCAGATGTTTCCTAGCAAGTGGCCATGCATCTTGGAGATGGGAATAAACGCGCAAAGTTCTTCCTGAGCTGGGGTCCAAAGTAGCACCGACCCGTCTTTAAGCGTGCAAAAACCATCCTTGTACGAGCAATGCCGGAGATCACCGACCGCGGTGTCGGGAAACTGGGACTCGTGACGCGCATGCACCATTGTAGGGGTTAGGTAACAATTAGTTACTGTTAAGTGATGGTCCGAGCAACAACCAAAGGGTGCAGAGGGAAATTCAAAAGTGAGTGGATTATCTGTCTTAAAAGATTCCCCTGCTGGACGCATAACCCCAAACTCGCATTTATGGTGCTGTTTCATCTGCCTACAATGTTCTACTGTCACGGTCTTATAGGTTTCTGTATGTGTTTGATGGCGCGCCCCGAAAAAGTTAACGGAATAAGTTACTGACTGCTCAACTATTCTGCATAAAGTAGCTGGAGTGTCGTAGCGCTTGGAATTAGGTCGGTAAACATGAAGAGTAGCGCGCACAGGGGGATTAGTTATGTTAGGAATTAGATAGGAGCAGTTATATGTAAGAGGGATATGACTAAGTGGATCAGATTTATCGTGTGGACACAGCCACACAGGCTGAGAGTAAGCAGAGAAGATACAGCAAGACATGACAAGAGAAGCGAAAAACAAAGCGTTAACTTTAGGAAGAGTAAACGTGGAAGATGATGTAGAGGAATGGCCAAAAGCTGAGTGGGCAAGCTCTTCGTTCCGTTGCACGAGTGCCGAAATGCGAGCGTTAGAGTTTTCGGGAGCTGCCTGATTTTGTTTCAAGGATAGAGACAGAGATTCAATCTGCTTACGCGCATCTTCTAGTTCACTATTAGAATGAGGCGAGATGCTAAGCAAGTTAGGGGAAGCTCTACGGTTAAAAGCTGGAGAACGAGAACGGAAAGGAAATCTAGGGCTGCGCGATCTTAGAAAACGTGATGTGAACCTACCTGTTTGCTGACGTTGTCGCCTCCTTGACGGGCATTCAGGAATAGTGTGTCCTCGACCGCCACAGTTATAGCAGAAAATACCATTCGCCATGTTGTCCTGAGGCCTTTGTTCCATTGGTTCCTGAAATCGCACACGATTAGCATTTGGTCTTACTCTACCTGGATAGCCTTCCCTGTTGTAAGGGCTTCGAGAACGAAAGGGGTTGGAAGGACGCTGGTTACGATTAACAGTAGGACTATCAAATGAAGAACGGGTGAAAGGCTTAATGGAACTTACGGTCACCGGTTGAGACACCTGAGACGGGTGAATAAGTCGATCCCTAGAAGCTTCAGCCAATAGGTTCTCGACTCGTTCGGCTTCGGCCACTGCTTCCTCAAAAGATGACGGGTTAGCATACTTAACGTGAAAACGTAAGTCAGAATTCAAGCGTTGCAAAAATTCTTGAAGGAACACTTCATCATTAAGAGAAGGGTCCTTACCTGTTGCAGTACGTAGTAAGTTAAGAAGGCGAAATGCAAAAGCAGAGATAGACTCACCCGCGGCCTGTCTGCACGACGACAACTCTTGCCTGGCATCCGCCATCTGCTTAGGCCCTTCGTAGTGCTTGCGCAATAGGGCCACGATTGCGCCATAGTCGAGCTTATCTTCCGAGGATAGGGTTTCAACACGTTCCCTGGCAACAGACTCTAAATGCGCAACTAGATAGTTAGCCCTATCCTCCGCTGTAACAATTTTGCGTAAGCGCATTGAGTCCTCTAGGCGGCGCAACCACAATGAAAAGGATTGAGAATTAGAAGTACCCGAAAATGAGACGATTCTGGACGAGAGCCCATCAGGGCAGCAAGTTGCAACCAACGGGAATTGCTCCATACGAGAACCCACTACCGCAAAAGACTGGTTAATCCCCTCTAAGAGATCCGAATTACCTCGATTCAGTTTCTCCGCCAGTTGTGCGGTAGTCTTCTTAGCGTCCCGCCAGGCGTTGACCAAAGCATCTGTCGTGGCACTCTTCAATTCCTTGGCGTCACGTCCATGAACCACGACCGAGTCCTCAAGGGTCGCCAACGCCGACGTCAAAGGCGCCGTGATAGCCTCGAGTGCCCCAGGTGGGCTCGAGGTATCCGTCGCGGGCTGCTCCACCTGCCCCTTTGAGCGAGTAATCGGAACCATGAAAGCTAAAACTGGATAAGCCCAATATCAGGGAAATTAAGAGACAAGAGTAGAAGTGGAAGCCCAAACCTTGAAGCAAGATGCGAGAGCGAACTGCGAATTCTTCGTCAGTATGAAGACAACTAAGTCCGATGACCTATTATATAGTTGCGCTGCTTATCAAATGTTACATGGTAGCGCCAAGATGTTTTCCTAAGGGGATATCTATGTTTCTGATCAAAGACAGCAATCGTCATGCTAAGGGAAAACTTTCGAATATGCTAAGCATGTGTTATTTCTCTGTTATCTATGTTTTGCATCTACACCGGATGTGAGAGAATGTTAGCTTGCTATTTGATATTTCCCCTACGACTTATCTATGTTTATGATCTGGCTGTGCAAAGCCGTTATCTCTACTTTCTCAAGAGTCGCGCTAGGTTTTTGTTACCAAGAGATACCGTAATACGAGAGAATTCAAACAGTTACTCGCGGATGAGTGCAAAATGCGAAAATACGATTCGGAGCGCAAAGTCCCTAAGAAACAAGCTTGGCTCACAAAGACACAAAGCACTGATTCAAATGAGCGCAAGCGCAAGTTGAATGAAGTTTTGCATGGCGCAACGAGAAAGTGCTTGAAAGCTTAGCGCAAGCATGGAAAACAGTCTCAGAAACAAAGAAGTTCAAATTATCGGCGCTTGAAAACAGCGAGAGATTGCGAGCGAGAGAGAGCAGACTGCGAGAGAAATACAGTAAGATTAGCTAAGGAGAATAGTTATGTGAGTGAAATATCCAACTGTAAATAGTATACGAAACCACAAAATGAATTTAGAATTATGTTAAAAGAAAAGATCTCCAAAAGGTATCTCATTAGTAATTTACTAGTCAGGCGCGATACACGCGCACGCTCAAACAGTCTACACCACGAGAAAATTCCACCAAAAGTATGAGGAAGAGCTAATGTGAGAGAGGAAATTCAAGTTATAGGAGGATATGATTGCAATAGGAGTTTATAAAAACGTACCTGATTTCCTAGCTGCTTGTATAGCGTAGTGGAGTAGACTGAAGCCGACCGCTAGCTAGACGGCCATCTGGGGAGAATGCGGCCAGAACTCTGCGCGCTAATCTGGAAAGGGCCGCCATATGTGACTTACATAGTAAGCGAATGATCGATCAACACCTTTGAGTTATATCACCTCAATGCTCGAGCTCACCTTACCCCCTCAAGCGGATGTCACCTCGCGAACTACCTCGAGGCAACTCTACTGGACTCTAACACCTCATAATTCCCAGCCGCCGGCAACACTAATATCAATTCAACATGGGCGAACGCCTAGCCAAAACACAAGTTAGCCAAAACACAAGTCCATTAATCCGCGAGGAAACACAAACTCAACCCGGGGAGAACGCAGTATACCTTCCTGATAATACGCTCAACAATGCGAGGGAGGGGATCGACATCCTTCGCAACGGAGTAGGGGTTCGATGATGTAGATCATGCCAGAGAAGCGAACATTCTGGTTTTAATCAATTATTACCAAGCATTTAGGTTTAATTTGATGAGAGATTTTTTTTGAAAGCCGGGTTCTTCTCTCAGCGACCTGTACCTGGCAATCTTGCCTCTGACTTCTAGATTCGCCTCTCGAGAGGAAACTCAAGCAGTAATAGCTGCCAGCTTCGAATATTTGTAAGAGTTCTTAATCATTCAAGGAATTTGCGCATTTTTCTTATGAATAATAGTTTTGTCCAAATAGGCTGATTAAACACATTGTAGTTAATGTATTGTATGTGTATTGCCTTTATCTTGTTATCTCAACATAAGTTGCCTTGAAAAAATCTAGAAAATAGCAGATTTGCCTGATTCCAAGCAGAGATCCCCTGGGGAGCGATCCCCTCCCCAGCGTTCCCTTCGTGCATAGCAGGGATGGCCGCTGAGGATCATTCCCTTGGGGGAATGGACGGTATGTCGCAGATGGCTACATCTTTCATGAAAAGCTGGCACGATTTCATGTGTGGAAATCCTGGTTCGAGTGCCGCGACACCCTCCCCCCCTTTTTTGGCAGCGTAATGTCTTTCACCCATTCACTGCAGAAACTCTTGACTTTAATTGTTGAACATCTTTACGCTGGAATGGGCGCATAGGGAAGAGCGAGCAACATTCATGAAAACAGCGAATTTAATGTGCATAGGAAATATTATTTTCAGTGCGCCGAGCGCAATCACAGCAGACGGTAACGACTAAAGAATTACCGACGACAAAATAAAGACACTAGCTCTCAAAAGATGAGAACGGAGGGAAATTACTACAGAAAAACGGAACGGAAATGAATTCCCCGCTCTATCCTTTGTGCATAAGGGAGTTCACTTCCCCTCCCCACAGGGGATCCATTCTCCGATATTGTCTTTGTGCATACGGGGGTTCGCGTGGGGAGGGGAGGGGATCCCCAGCGGGGATCATTTCAATGGTAAAACGCACATCCCCTCCCCGCGGGGATTTACGTGCATATGGGCCTAAGTATCACTTATTCCGACGGCTTGAAAGTTTTCAGTTCTCTGCGTTATGACAAATAAATGCTTTTACTTCTCCGTTTTTCATAGAAGCCCGATTTCACTAGTTAGCATGAAAGCAGCCGAATAACAGGAACTCATAAAGATACTGCTCGATAGAAACAAGGAAGCTCATAGTAATATTGATCATTCGAGCCATGACTGTTCAAAGTGAAAAAAAGTAAAATTCTGAAGGGTTCTGATTGCCCAAAAAGCGAAAAATATTGAATCTCCGTCCAAAACCTTTTACAGATTTCCTACTAACACACATCTATACTATCAAGATCGGATGCTTATATATGCAGTTGCTGTACTCTTTGATTGAAAATTGAGAAATCGAGAATTTTTATCATTTTCTCGAAGCAATGCAGGCCGTTTTAACCCAAGCAATTCTATACTATAACCCACTGTAAATATGACTGTAAATTTTCTGCTTTGGGTTTCTCTGCTAAAAACGAAATTTCTCGAAAACTAGAATCAAAAGTTATTACTAATGGACTCTCTACATGTTGGCGCTGAAGCTCACATAGGTGTTGCCAAGGTTAGCAAAAACTCTTTGATTTATCGAAAAAATATTTTAGCACAAAATTAATAAGGCTTTTCAATTTGCTCATGTATTATATGAGTGCCATTAGATATTTATGCATACAGCAGCCGTTTTTGTTCGCTGGATTGCGAGAAATCAAATGGACCAAATGATAGCGGTATTGCCTTGTCGTTTTTCTTGTGCTAGGCATTATATGTAAGTTCTTGAAAACTAGCTGCGATTAAAACAAATATGACAATACAATATGTTTCTTGACTAGTTAGAAGTTAAGCACGATTTTTTGGCGGATATAATTTTTTCGGAACTTTGAAATATTTTATTAGGGTGTCTCATAATTTTTTACCGTTTTTATTGCAACCGCCGTCTTTTTGATCTTTGATGTGATTTCAGTCACTTTTCGACAGGGCAAAGCAAGCTCTACAAGACAGCTCTTAAAAGTCTGCCCAAATCATATCCCAAGTGAAGTTTTAAGCTGAAATCTGGTAGTAGTCAAAAACGAGATTTTCTTTCAGAAATCGTATCTCCGTCCAAAAAAATCCAAAAACTTTCCCATTTATTCTAGCATATGCTTGGCCCATCCCATATTCAACTGTAGTCTTTTTGAATTTTTTTCCATGGCTAAAACAGAGAAGAAGATGAATGAGGCAAAATGGCAAACTCCGCCACAGACGTTCTGAGCTACTTTTAAGCAACTGATCATATAGCTCATACATACAGAAGTACGATCATGTATTTGGATCTTTTGTAGGTGCCCCAGTTCTCGAGAAAGGCCGATGTTTAGGGCAAAAACGGTAAAAAATATGAGACACCCTAATAATTCTGTAGAGGTTGTCTATTACTTATTTGATCTGTCGCCTTAACATGAGAAACATTAATTCTGCGTTTAGATGATAGTACCTCACCAGCAAACAAGCAAACATCAATTTTTTAAAGCTCTTCTCAGTTGGAGCTCTGCATCACAGGTTAACTTCATTATTGACCACTTCTCGTTGAATATTCATTTTCAACCTTCTCCGATTCTTGATTACAAAAATGGGGTCTTCATGTACATCTTGAGCAAACGCATATCGCCTTTCATTTCGATATTGGCATTCTCCAGTGCCAGGCAATGATCATTCAAGTGTCAGAGTCCCTGCGTTACATACAAGAACTTTTGTGCTCCAATCTGCAAGCTCTCAAAATCTTTCCCTGCACTTCAAATAAAGCGATGCAAGCTGCCTTGCTCACTAGAGAATTGCAAAATTCACACGCGAGTGCCTCTGTGTTGGCCAAGAAGCAAAGCAGTGGGATTGTGAAAAAAATTTCATCGTTAACTTTGGAATCCATAATATGAAT